ATATAATATTGAGACATTGCTCGCGAGGAGCAATGTGTTTTGACCATTACATAATAATTTAGTATTGCTCGCGAGGAGCAATGTTATGTAAACAACTGACTATCTAAATATATAATAACGGAATCAAATATAAACAAACATAATCAAATAATTAAATATCGTTACACACAGTTTGAATTTAAGCTTGTTCAAATCATGGCACCGGGAAGTTCTGTAAGCCGACTTAAGTATAAATTATAATCCCCGGAATAGGTTAGGGCGACATAAATTGATCCATGTTTTACTAATGCACACATAGGGACAATCTTTAAAATCTTCATTCCAAGAACAGCAAAGCCATTAGTTATATTTATAAAGATAGTGTAGGTATATATGACTGTTCAAATCATGATCTGTGGAGATAAGGCGGTACAATACTGAAAAAGGCGACGATAACGACCAATGATCGATCTCAAAAAAATATATAAGCAAAACAAATTAGTGAACAGGGCATAAAGCACGGACCCCACCCCCAAAATTATATATTCCCTCATGTTATGCTCACCTGAATGGAAGTTGGTAGCAAGTGAAATAGCTTTCCAAAACTATATCCATCAATTTAGAATTTTTCGATCTATCTTTAGTCCAATGTAAAGAAAATAAATCCCTTATATTCACCTGGAAGGTCACATGCAGGTAAATATAACGTAGTATTTTTTCGACATTGTTGGATCTCAGTCAATCTAGGTTAAGGAGTAAGCAAAGCCATAATTAGTCATATTGATATGCAAGTGATATCTAGTTATGAAGATTCAAATTTGTCCATATCAAATCCCAGGGGAATAAGGGATATTAAAGTTTTACATGGGAATATGCCGAATATTCTTTAAAAATCTTGTTCTCAAAAAATTAGTTGCAATGATTTTTTATATTAATGATTAAATCAAATATTCTTTGATCATGCATATTGGCTCAAAGAAAAAGAATTAAACGACTTGTAAAGCACAGCATGAACGTATTAATAATGATACAAGCAATTTAGGATGCTTGTTGAAATCATGACCTCTAGGAGAATTCATTGGCCACTCTTTTGAAAGACAGCAAGGTCAGGGTTACTCAGGGAAGTGTTGTTGTCTAAGGGTCTTGCCTTCTAATATGTTTGCAAAAAGGAGTTTAGCTTCAAGAAACTTTCAATAATAACTTCAGCTTAAACTGGTCATGAAGGCCAGCAAAAGTCAAAGTAAAATATTAAAACTTATCTTCTTTAAATTAATTTTCAGAACAGATTAGCTCAACATTTAACTTTCAATAAAAAGAGACTGTCCATAATACATATTAGATTTATTCATTGCATTATTTTCAGGTACGCATGAAACCGCACAGAGTTTGTAAAATTGTAATTGCCTGTGCAGTTTTGCACAACATCTCGCTTACTCTTTATGAGCCAGAAGATAAGGGGGGAGACAGATCAAGAGGATATTCAGCCTCCCCAGCCTCCCTACCAAGGACAACAAGATGGAAGGAGTATAAGAGATTATGTTACACGACACTATTTCTCAAGAGTATAGACTGTTTAACAATTTAACAATTTACCTGCTCTTACAATGTAGGCATTGCTATGATAAAGAAAACATACAAGTCATATTTCATAATTTAATCAACAATTGTACAGTAAGTAGAAATGTTAACAATGTATAATTTTCACAATACAGTGTTATAGACTTTTAACAGCTATAACTATTAAAATAATGGAATAGATCATTAACAATACAAAAGTGCCCCATTGGTTAAATAACTCACTCTGAGGTCAAATATCCACATAGAAAAAGAAGTTTCATCACATCCTTAATGTACCCCCTTAGCAAGAGGTCCATAAGCCACAAAGGTTAAATGTCACAAATTATGGATGCTTCATCATTATACTGGTCAATTTATCATGTTACATAACTACTTGCAACACTTTTTCTTTTCTTACACATAAACTCTGGAATTCACAAAATAAATTAATAAAAAAAAATCCCTAAAAATTACTACAGGAAATGGGCATAACTCTTTTCAATAAAGTAACTTTTGATTAAAATATTTATGAACTAAATGTAATGATCCATGCTTATTTAATCCTAATCTAAGGATTTTTTTTTTTAAACTTTGTATTTACTATAGCTATCTATAAAGTGTTTTTATTTCCAAAATAACAACAAGAAGCCAATGGGCCACATCGCTCACCTGAGCACTTTAACCAGGAGTTCAGTATTTTATGAGTGGTATCAACCTATCCCTAAGGGGAGGGAGCATGATTTGAACAAACTTGAATCTTACAACAAGCAAATTCAAAGGATTGTGGTCCCCCGCTTTCGTGTCTTAACGGATGGGATGCCATTATTTATGACATATTGTAAATGTATTGTTTGTGTGTCCTGTTTTATCTGTGCATCATACAAAAAAGACATAAATTTTTGAATTAATAACAGTTACGGCAAAGATTATAGCTTCTCAAAACTACATCAATCTTCAACATCAAGGTCATGAGGTCAAATATCATAATATAATCCAAAACGTCTTGTCACAACTATTGCACATGTGAAAAAAAAATATCAAAAAGTAGAGTATACACAGCTAATTGTGCCACGTACGTGTAACGTATGGTAGCACATACCACATGTTACACGTATGTGAAACGTACATAACACATACGTGTATTCCAACTGCACGTTACACGTACGTGGTATAACGTATGGATAACATGCGTGTGACAACATACGTTTCACATAACGTACGTGAAACGTGCATTTGGAATACACGTATGTGTTACGTACGTTTCACGTACGTGTTACATATGGTATGTTCTACCACGCGTTACACATACGTTAATGAACATGTGGTTTACATATGTATTGTCAACCATACGTTACACATACGTTAATAAACGCACGGTTTACATGTGTATTATAAACCACACATTACACATATTTCACACACAGGGTTTACATTTATTATCAACCACACGTTATACATACGTTAATATATGCATGGTTTACATGTATTAAAAACCACACATTACATGTACATTAATGACAAGTATGAGTGTTATCAGCTATGTTACATGTAAGTTACTAAAAATTGTTTTACAGGTGTGTGAAAAGCTGGCTGTGTTTGAGAAGGCTGTATATTTTCTATATTAATGGTACTTTTACATACATGTATACGATAAATGTAGGTCAACTATAATTAAATTCAATCCTTTTTAATTCGTTTAATTAATTAGTAAAATTATTATTTAATTTTTGTCAACAAGTGAAAAAAATCCCTAAAAGTTTTATTGTTGCTGGGACTATATAATATTCTTAAACTGGTGACATTTTCAAATACTGTAACAGGAACTTTTTGTACAAAAGTACACCTCAGACCAAATACTTTTTTTTACTTAATAGTTCAGAGTGAATCTGGAGAACTAATCAAGATAATGTTTAACAATCAACAGGTCTGACACAATCTCTTGATTAAGCTTTATAGCTTGAAATAGCTATATAGCTTTATTAAGCTATTCAAAATAGCTTGATAAAGCTATTTATATGCAGGTTTTCACAAAAATGTTATTTGTACAAAATAGACAAAAAGTCGCAAGTATTTGACTATTCATATGTAATATGGGTTATCAAATCAACAACCCAAATCAAAGATAGTTCTAACATTGCAGCATTTGAATACTTTTAAGCAAAAGATGAATTTCCATTGTTTGGGTAACTGTACACTACCTTGTGTGAGTTGAGGCATGGATAAGTATGATTGCTTCTCATTGTACTGAATTATTACCAATCAATTATCTTGTTGACCATAATTGGCCTCCTTTATAATTTCATTGAAGAGGTAACTGTATCAATTGCTTTATATAGCCCCCAAAACTTTTAGAACTTTGAGTACAAAGTCTCTTAAGGAGACGCAATTTGATGAGTGATTTTTACATGCATTATTTTCATAAGAGTTCAAGGTTGAATATCATCACTGCACCAAGGTGCGACTTTTTGTACATACTTGGAAAATAACACATTTGAGAAAAAAGTGTGATAAAATAGCTAAATCAAGCTATTCTGAATAGCTTAATAAAGCAATATAGCTAAATCAAGCTATATAGCTTAATCAGGAGATTGTGCCGGAACTGATCAATAACCTGTAATTCATGAAACAGAGTATTGCGACCAACTTGGTCCAAGTATAAAATCCCTCTTAAAATGGGACCCTAGATCATAAGTTGCGTGGATTTTAATCATTATACTGTAATATATTTTAAAGATTTAACTTTTTTTTTTCTCAAAAAAATAATATCATATCATGATCTATGATAATGATGATTAAAACCCAGTCACCTCTGAAAGCTCACAGGTGTGTGCATTGTTGACTTGTTGTGCGTGTTTTGCGTCTTTAATGTTCCAATTTATTTCACATTGTTTACCTTACGTCCACTTGCATGTCTGACATGGAGTAATCAGTTCGCATTGGTGTATAATTTACTCTTAGAGCAGTAAAACATAGTCTACATACAAGTACACCAATCTCGTAATATGTACATGTATATCGGATATCGGTAGAGGCACATAAAATTGAACTCGATCATCGGTAGATATGATCATTCCGAATTCAGGAGCAAAAGCTGAATTTGGAAAAAAAAAAAAAAAGAAAATCACGATAATTTCACAACAGAACTCAAATGGAATTCACCTAAATAGGTATTACATAATTATACAGTTGGTAGCGTCCGTATAACACTAAATATGTAAAATGTACGTTCCGGAATGTTCACCTCCGATTATTATTTACGTTAACGGGTGACGTCACTGGTAAGAAGTCTGACGTATGCAAGACAGTGACTGGAGTTAGGCTAGGAGTAACGATGAGGAATATACATAACATGAACAGTTATTTATTTACTTTATATTTCAGACTGTGTTGCATGTAAACTAACGGATGTGTTTCTTTTATTTTAGTGTATAACATAATGTAAACTTGGTATACCAAATAAGCTGATAAGTACGAAATTATTGACGCAGTCAACTGTCTTGGTCAGCACCCCAGCCCAGGCGTGAATCAACACTGGCACATTATATCAAAATTAAGGTGAGGTATAAAACATACTGTTATAAAAAATATTTATTGTAAGATTTTTTTTAGCCTACCAATAAGATGCAATAAAACCCTTGATGGAAAAAGTTCCACCCACCCAATGTATATTTCTTTACAAAACATGTAGAGGAAATATAAATTATCTTTTAGGGCAATAAGGGTGTAACACTTATTTTTCAGATATCTTTTTCATACAGTCCTTATGAATATAAATAATGTATTCTGAGATTGTGATTTTTTTTATGTGATTTTAAATGTACACTCCAGGATGGTGGCTGAAGCTCATCTCCTATGTAAACACCTAAATGCCAAGTCTGGACTTCAAAAACAGATTCTGAAAGTTTAACCAGCATTATGGTAAAACTCTTAAAAAAGAAATCAAATTTTCTGATCCCATTGCTTTTAGACTTACAATTTAATACATATAATATCATGTAATGATGTGCATTACATTTCAATCACAAGAGGAGAAAATGTTAAATGTTATCAGTAAAATAAGTAATTTTTCATATTGTTTGTTTTGCTTTACAAGTCTGAAATGCAATTTTTTTTAACATATATTTTCTTTTTTACCTCAAGGACAAAAAGTATACACTTCGAACAGACACAAAAACATATAGGTCCATGCCAAGCTATGAAAGATTTATGCTGAGGGTAAGTTCTATTATTATATAGAATTTAATTGTCAGACATATGGTTATGTCTAAAATTTTACTGTACTTGTATTTATATCAGTGATAAGCAATATTTTGCACCTGAGCTGACTTACATGTAATCACAAAGAAATGTTATAACTAATTAGATAACCTGAGTCAGTCATGACCTATTGCTATCTGTTTTTAGCTCACCTGAGCTGAAAGCTCAAGTGAGCTTTTGCTGATCACATTTTATCTGTAGTCTGTCTGTCTGTCTAGCTGTCCGTCTGTCTGTAAACTTTCACATTTTCGACTTCTTCTCCAGAACCACTGGCCTATTTCAACCAAACTTGCCACAAACCATCCTTGGGTAAAGGGGATTCAAGTTTGTTCAGATAAAGGGCCACACCCTCAATAAAAGGGAGATAATTAAGAAATAGTGAAAATTTAGTGGGATGTTTTAAAAATTTTCTTCTCAAGAACCACTGGGCCAAAAAAGTTGAAACTTATAGGAAACCTTGTATGTCAAAGTGTAAATTCAAATTTGTTTAAATCATGAGCCCTGGGTTTGGTTGGGGCCACAATGGGGGATCAAAGTTTTACATAGGAATATATAAGAAAAAATCTTAAAAAATCTTCTTCTCAAGAACAGCAAAGCCTTGTTTAGTCATATTGATAAGGAAGCATCATCAAGTAGTGTAGATTCAAGTTTGTTCAAATCATGACCCCCAGGGGTAGGGAGGGGCCACAATGGGGGATCAATATTTTACATAGGAATACATAGGAAAAAAACTTTAAAATTCTTCTTCTCAAGAATAGCAAAGCCATAAATAGTCATTTTGAAATGGAAGCATCCTCAGGCTGTGTAGATTCAAGTTTGTTTGAATCATGATCCTCTGGGGATAGGATTGGACCATAATGGGAGATCAAAGTTTTACATAGAATATATAGGAAAAAATCTTCTTCTAAAGAACAGAAAAGCCATGATTAATCATCTTTATATGAAAGCATCATCAGGTAGTGTAGATTCAATTTTGTTCAAATCATGAACTCTGGGGTAGGGAGAGGCCACAATTGGGGATCAAGTTTTTACAAAGGCATATGTAGGGAAAAATCTTTAAAAAATTTCTGCTCAAGAACAACAAAACCATATGTTATGTTAATATTTCTTATGGCCTGCGGGTGTGTCATCACCTTGACCCAAGGTCATTTGGGCAAGTTCAAGGTCACTGACAGAAAAAAAAATCATAATTCGTGTTTACACAAAGATTGCTTATGACCTGAAGGTGTGTCATGACCTGACCCAAGGTCATTTGGACAAGTTCAAGGTCACTGACAGAAAAAGTTCATAATTCGTGTTCGGTCTGTATCTTTCCTATGGAGGATAATTTTGGATGTTGGGAGTATCCACTTCACACAAAGATTGTTTATGACCTGAGGGTGTGTCATGATCCTGACCTATAGTCACATACTGTAGAAAAAATGGATAAATAATGTATCCATACTTTCCAACAGAGAAATACTTCAAAAATTGTTATTAATTTTTCAATGTAATAAAAAACAATATTATTATTAGTATTGCTGTTTTACTAGGCTATGCCAAAGTTTCATTCATTAAAAAAATATAATGAGCAATTACTGGTAAATTTTCTCTCTAAATGTATAAACAATTTTTGAACACCTTTTAGATCCTAAAATACTAGTATTAGTGACTTGGCATCTTCTCTGAAAAACCCAATGGGGGTATTTGTCCATATTGGACAGTTCTAGTTTAGTTCTAAAGGAAGTCAACCAGGAGTTATATGTAGAAAATAATAATGTTCTGAAAAAAAAAACTATGTGTTTTTCCATATGCAAATTCATTTAATATTTTCTTTTTCTTTACAGATGAAAGGGAATTGCAGAAGAATGAATTGATGTTAACATCTCAACATTAAAGTTGGCTTAAATTTGAATATGTCTTTTGTTGTGATTGCCTAAAGAGCAATTAGGATCAGGAAATTTGAGGTGAAGGATATCCAGATATGTACCTTCAAAATGTGGATCATTCAACAGATGAAAAGAAAATAAGCCCCTGAAGAAAATTATGTCAAATGCATGAAATGAATATTTTAATTGCACATCATTTTTGTTTCACGCATGTTTACAATATATATGTGAAAAAGAATGTTCGGTGGTCAAAACATATGTTTAACCATGGTTTGGCACATGTATGGTACTTATACATTTATCATATGAGCAGTGCATTCAACAAACATGTTAAACGCATGTTTCTAAAAACATACGTTACACACACGTTGAACGTACGTTATTCATACGTGAACCATATGAATAACGTACGTGTGCAACGTGTGTAACGTATGGTAGTCAATAGGTATGTTTAACGTACGTGTCACGCATGATATTCATACGTGTGAAAACGTACGTTTAACATACGTGGTGCTTTTTTCATGTGATACGTACGTGAAGTCACGTACGTATCACATACGTTTAACGTACGTGATACGTACGTGGCACATTTTGCTGTGTACAATCGGAGAGGTCTTGAAACAGGTAATGCAATTCAAATGTAAATTAAACAAGTAATGTACATGTCAAATGCAAATGCTGTATCTTCTCTCAATCAAAATTTATCAGCAATGTTAAAATTGGGTCATAGATGTCAGGGTCAAGGTCAAAATTCATAGCATGCTTGGAAACATCTTGTCACAGGTAATGCACTTGTCAAATATTAAAGCCCTATCTTTTCTCAATCAAAAGTAATAAGCAAAGATATTTTTTTTGAAAAGTCGGTCACACTTCAAGATCAAGGTCATGAGGTCATAAATCAAAGAAAATTTGGAAAGGTCTTGTCACAGGTAATAAACATGTGAAATATGAAAGCCCTATCTCTTTTCATTTAAAAGGTATGACAAAGGTTAAAGTTTTTGTGACAGACAGACTGACAGACAGACGAATGAGATTTAATGTCCCCTCGCTTTCATGAAAAGGGGGGGGGGCAATTAAAAAAATACTACAGGAAAGGGACATAACATTTTTCAATCAGTAACTTTTGATTAAAATATTTATGAATTAAATGCAATGATCTATGCATACTTAATCTTAAACTAAGGATTTTTTTAAAATTATGTATTTGTTATCTATAAAAATGCTTTTATTTCCAAAATTAACAAAAAGACAGGGTTTGACATTTACGATGATTGGCCCATTTATTTGCTTCATTGACTAGACTATATATACATGTCATAGTTTATGATAACAAAGAAAACATTGATGTGAGTGGCAGCTCCTCATCCTCTTTCTTTGCTTTCTTTATCAGGATTTGAAGTAATTATATCCCCGCTCCGAAGGAGAGGGGGGTATACTGTTTTACCCTTGTGTGTCTGTCTGTGTGTGTGTTTGTCTGTCTGTCCGTTACAAATTTTTCGTCACAGTTTTCTCAGCAACTACTCATCACAGATACTTGAAATTTTAGCACATACTTTGTTTAGGCATGTCGTATAATGGGATATATTTTTGTACGAATCCGATGTCAACTTCCTGTTTTAGCCGTGCGTCTGTCCGTACCATACATAACAAATTTTTCGTCACATTTTTCTCAAATACTACTCATTGCAGATGCATGAAATTTTTTCATACTCTTTGTTGAGGCATGCCATATGATTGGATTCATACGAATCTGATGTCAACTTCCTGTTCATTCATGTGTCTGTCCGTAACTGAACCTGCGTATATTCACATCAGAACGGGGGTATTACTAGTGAGCATTGGCTCACAGACTTCTTGTTTAATCTGCAGATTATTTTTTCTTATTCTTTTTTCAAGGACGGCACACTGTAGAGCATCAATATCAAATGATTTTACGAACAAGTTATCTAAATGTGCGTTTAGTTCATACGGAAGGAAGCCTAAAAACCACTCCTTTTCCGTTTTACTAAGCCCACGAACAAGTTATGTTATGCTTTAGTATAGTTTACGTATTACTAGACTATATATTGTAAATTTATTTTAGAAAGCTGACTGGACTAATATAGTGTTAATGTTTATTTATTACTCTATTCGCCACAATCAAATGCTCCGTCAACATGGGGAAACCCGGGAATCGCTTCTGGCCATGCTGTTAGAAAAATAGCTTTTAAAAATGAGGCGTGAAGGTAAAGTGCAGCTAGTTGAATACGATTTTACATTGAATACTGATCCTTATTAAGTTTTCATTAGTTTACGATTCGGAAGGACATTATCTACACTAAACATATGCGAAAACAGGTTCTTGTTTGAAAAGTACGAGTGGAAGGGGAAAAGGCCGTTCTTAATACAGCCTTATGTAAACAAAATATCGTTGATGTGTGGCTGAATTTTTATCAAAGAAACATTCTGTTTTTCAATAAATACTCTTAGGATTTACAGCATAAGAAAAATTATCATAAAGAATGAACTTTCAAGTTACTATATTCAGCTCTCACGAACGTCTAACTGTTATTGTAAGCAGACGACATTTTTTTTATTTCACATTGAAATGAAAATTTGGTAGAAATATTGAAAAAATAAAACTAGACGTATGAATTAAAGTGATTTTTTGCATGGAAAATATTTATTGGAACTATAATTAATCTCTACTGAGAAACAGATTGTTTTTAAAAATATTGTGAGTTGCTAGGTAGGGGTAGGTCTGGCCTAGTTTACATCTTGTTTTATTTGTAAACACATTTTATAATGTAAGTCATAAAATATTACACCTGTTTTATCACAGATAGACGTTTCAATTCCTCCAGGAATTCCTACAAAGGAACTGGAGTCCTTGTAGAGATACACAATGTCTGAGACTGTCTGGGAGAGGGGGTTAGGTGGTGGGCCTCCTCCAGTCCTTTGTGACTCCCTGCTGTGTTCAGCAAACTTCTGTTTAGCATCCCGACACATGTTTCTCCATTTATCTTTCACCTTGGTAACAGTCCTGTGAGCTGTGCCCACAGCATTGACTTTTTCGGTTATGTTTTTCCACACCGCTTATTTTTTCTGATTAATAACCGTGTTAGAGTGTTTACTTTCCAATATTAGAATTTGTTTTGCTTCATTATGAATGGTGCTAATCTCCATAATGCTGAAATTCTGGCTTCTAGTGCCCTTAGGTTTAGAGCAGGCCCCGGGGCCATAAAACTTAGACGAGCTCACTTTTGATCTCAGTCTCACTTTTCCACTATTAATTCCTTTGGTAAAAGTGAGACTGAGATCAAAAGTGAGCTCGTCTTAGTTTTATGGCCCCGGGACCAGAAATCAGTGCTCTCCATGTTTACATAGGAAGTAGAAGTGCATTAAGGATAACCAAGTGATCACCAAGTGATTAACTCAGTTAACACAGTGTTAGTTAACCATTGCGTTAAATTGCTTTTAATCAACACAATTTAACCACTGCGTTAGCTAATCACTTGATTAAGACTTAACACTGTGTTAACCTATCCACTTTGTGAAATTTAACCTCCTTTTGAAAAACCGGGCCCTGGTTTGTATTGAAGTAATTAATTTAACACGAAGACATAATCAGGAGCTTGAAAAATTAATACTATTATTAATAGTATCATTAATAGTAAAAGTAAATTACTATTACTATTATTAATAGTAATTATTAATACTATTAACAAAATAAAGTAAAAATAAGTCCCATAAAGTGATCAATTTGATCATCAGAATACACTTAAATCTCTTACCAAGCGCACAAGTACACATGACTGACAAAAGAAACTGCAAAATTCTAAGAACCGTCATCTTCAATCTGGAAAAAATATAACAAATGTCATTAAATAAGCATACAAGTATCATTGTAAATGTTCAAAACGTGTAAAAGATAGATGCAAAGATCACAAACGGAATATTTGCTTTAAAGTCTAATTAAACAGAACGTGGGATAGGGGAAAAGCAATTCTGTCTAGCAGTCAAATATATTTTGTGAGCTCCTTGTTATGATCATTAAACGGAGAATTTCGTTGACAATTCAGTGTGAAAATAATGGATTTCTGGTATGAGAACGTCAATCCATATTCGACCTAACGACAGATTGTTTTTGTATTTAAGGCCATTGTAAGGATAATTTAACTTGCCAAATATAGACTTAAAAACGAGATTATTGTCAAATGTATTTGTAACATATTTGTCAGTAGCCTGCCTAGGTTTAATATTGTTCATATGAATAACATTCTCTTGCGTATCGAACCCACTGGGAAACAAAAACACCGTTAGACGACAATGCTATTTGTTATACATGCAGTGGACGAGAGTTTCTTTGTCGAAGCAAATAAATCACCTGTTGACAGTAGAAGAATTTAACGTGTACGCGCTAAAATTAAAAGCAAATGCTGATAATCCTGCAATTGACTTTTTATATCCAATATCAAGATTTATATGTTACTATTTTAACGTACCTCATGTACCTTAAATTGTATGATGATATATACATATCTTAATTGTCACACACACACAGACCTAATATGCACCACCTCTGTTATCAATTTCAACTGCTTTATAATGTTTAATGAAATCAATACTGTCCAATTTTTACATCGTAAGACGTTTAAATTATATATCCATGGAATAGTTTTGTCAACCTTAGAAATCCCATGTAGTAGTTTTTTGGTGTGGGTGTTATTTTCCATTGAGCTTTTGCAATGAAATTTTTATATGATCATTTGGAAATCCCCTTATTTAGCTTATCTGATCTGAAAGCTCAAATTTTGATCACATTTTGTTTGGAGTTGGATGTTAGTCCTCTTCTCAAAACCCTGGGCAAATTCAAACAATGTTATTATATAGGGGGAAAATCTGGGGTAGAGCATTGTGAAATTGGGCCTTTTGGGGATTGGATCAAGGTAAAGGTCAATTTCTATATGATAATATAAGTTTACAAATGACATCTATTTTTCTAATCTTTTGTAATTAAACTACGCAA